AAATATACTTGCTTCACACAAATCCGTTTCAAGAAGGGTTCTCTTAACGGTTAAATCACCAAAGGAAAAAACAATCCTCTATTATCAAATAAACCATTAGAGGAGATTTATTCTTCACATCTTATTTATTTTGCTTCGGAATGGAACAGATAAGGAACTCTCAGGCAGGGTACTTTCCTTAGAAATAATCTCATCTGATAAAGTGTGTACAATATTAAAAGCATACAAGCATACTCAGTCGAAGCAAAATAAAAATGACACAGCTTAAAGAAACATGGATATATCATTCATTCCCAATGTTGTTTCAAAAAAAAAAATTATTATTACTCGATCCTACTTCCTCTTTGGATCAAATGGGGTAGATTCAAAAGCATCTACCATAGCTGGACTTGCAGGTGGAGGATTTGATGGGCCAGTTGCAAGAGTAGAGACACTTGGAACTGAAGGGACCTCAGGATGAGCTTTCACCATCTTAGCAAAAAGAACTTCAGCTTCCTAAGCTTTTGGACCCTCATCATAGGGAACGACACTCCCATTTGGGCATCAAAAGCCTCGGGATCTTTTGTCTTTTCCCCTGAACCCTGATTGAAGCCGGACCTGAATGCCTTGGCGCTAGATAAGCGCACCAGACTGGTGTAACAACCCTGCATCTGCCTCCCTGCAATGATGCAGGTGCTAAGAGCATCATTCAAACGCTGGACTTCAACCTCCGGTGACTCAACTTTGGCATCAGAGGCAGCCAAACGCTTCTTGTAAACATCCCGAGCCCCGTATGCAATTTGTGCATTGGCAATGGCATGGGATGCCTTCTTCTCAGAATTACTGAGGTCCTTCTCCAGCTTCTTAAGGGAAAGAGACTGGGCCTCAGTAGTAGCACAGAGGGCCATAGTATGATACAAGCCCTGCATTATGAGATAATAACAATGTAAGAAAATATGTAAGGCAATTATGACATTGGAAATGAAAGACGGGGCAAACCTCTATGGCTCGAACGGGGGCAGATGGGAGTAGCTGTTCCAGCCCCATTCTGCCGATAATTTCTTCATCCTTGGGGAGCCACATTTGTAATATCCCTAATTTTAAAAGGATAGTCTCGGTATTTATTTATTTATTTTTATTATATTTTTTTTAATTGTTTAATTGATTATTTGACTAATTGTTTATGTGTTTAATTGAATTAAGTGTTACTTGATTAATTGGCTACTTATCTATGTGTTATTTGTATTTTGTCTAGGTGTTATTTGTATTATTTGTTTAATTAGATTGTGTGCTTAAATGATGTATTTGATTAATGTTAATTAATTGTAAATTAAATGTTTTCATTTCTTTTATTATTTTATTTTATTTTTCTTTTATGGTTATGGTTAGTGGTAATTGGCCAACCAATTGGATCCCATGGACTGCTTGGATAGGAGGATGGATGAGTATGGATAATTATCCATGGATAGTTGTATATGTATATATATAGATATATATGTATATACATATATATAAAAAGGAAAGTAATTTATTAATATTATAGTAACTTTAGTATTAATAAATAATCTGATGTATATATTTTATATATTTATATAATAAGGATATACATATATTTTATACGTAACATGTTTTAAGTTACCTTTTTAATATTATGGTAACTTTAGTATAAATAAATAATCTGATGTATATATTTTATTTATTTAATGAGAATACAGATAGATTATATACTTAACATGTTTTAAGTTACCTTTTAATATTATGGTAACTTTAGTATTACTAAATAATCTAATGTATATATTTTATTTAATTAATAAGGATATACATAGATTATATACGTAACATATTTTAAGTTACCTTTTTAATATTTTCATTTTTATTTTTTTTTATTAAGTTGACTTGGATTGGGAAAAGGAATAGGGTTATTATTTAGCCTATAAATACACAACTATAGGTTGAAAAAGGAGTGAAAATATATCACGTAATATATTCTAGAGAGAGAGTTAGAGAGAGAAGGAGAAAGAGGGAGGAAGGAGGAGAAAACCCTTTAGAGAGAAGATCAAGGAAGAAGAAGTTTAACTTTCAATCCGAAAGTTTAAGGCAAGTTCTTCTTCTATCTCTTTCCCTTTGATTCGTGTTTCTGTACATGCCTAGAAAATTCCAGGATTTATTAAACACATAAAATTAAATAATTATGCATGTTTAATTGGGTTAGAACATAGGTTTTATGAAATTGGTTCATATCTGTTCTTGTGTTATGAATTGATAAAATGCATGATTTTGATTTGATTTCTTATGTGAATTTTTACATGTTTAAATTATGTATTTTTCATATCTGTGGAATGATGGAACGTAGAAACATGCCTAAGATTCCTGAACATTAAATAGGGACTATGTTTGGGTTTTAATAAATTTAAATAGACCCAATCATAATGATACTTACTATTTGAATGTTTTAAACAAACGAATGGATTTAATCTTTTAAAATATTTTAGCAATTGAGATTAAATGTGTAGGATGAATTGGATATGGAGAATCCTTATTTAACGGTATAATAAAATATCATCATGTATAAGATTCAGTTTGTGTAGGACATATGATATAGGAAGTTTAAAGAAATAATAAGTCATTCCTATTATGTGATAACTTGATATCATATTTATCATAGTTATTTATGGAATGTTTGATGTATTTCCTTAATTGTTACATCAATTGTTGGATTGTGTGATTTAATGCACCGGTATGGGACGGTGGCATTCTAGGGATGGATTAACTTATTAGTTAAGTCCTACCTATTTTATATAAGGGAATGGATTAACTAAAATATTAAGTCCTACTTATATTTAAGTCAGGTCAGCTGAACAAGTTGAATGACTTATGGATGATTAATTTATTATATAAGGGAATGGATTAACTAAAATGTTAAGTCCTACTTATATTCAAGTCAGGTCAGCTGAACAAGTTGAATGACTTATGGAGGATTAATTTATACTGGATAGGATGGTTACTAGATTTTATATATATAAGTATGGTGCCATGATATGAGCTTGAGTCTCAGGATCAATGGTTAGGGCGCGTATATCGCCAGGGATGTGTAGCTAAATATAGTGTAGTTGTGTACCCTGGTAGGTCTAGGTACTCATGCCCACTATACGTGCGTTTTGCATGTTGCCTACTATTCAGGTTGAGACAACCCTATAGTCTAGTGAGGTTCCTTTAGTGTGTATATATATATATATACGGACTACTAGTTACTGTTGGATTGACTAGGATGTATACGTGTATCGGATCTCTGCTTGGACTGTAGTAGAGTAGAACTTGTTTGTGGGCCTGACCCACCATTATTTTTCAGGTGTTCGTCACGAGTAGAGGTTGTTCGTGCTGAGCGGGGATCAGTCTACTTCATTCTTCCGATGCTACATAGGAGTTCCTTTATGATTCAGTTTCCTGTTTTAGATTACGGTCATTTGTTTAGTTTGGATTTTCTAGGGGTCCACACAGTATGGATTCTCGAGTTGTATTTTGGAGGATCAGTTGTATCAGAAGAGTTTATTAATTAATGGAAGTATATTATGAGGTTTATTATCAGATTATCATTTTAGTTTCTTGTCAGCATTTTATTTATTCTTCTTTATTCTTTTGTACTCTGTGTTCGTTTATTATCAATTTGTTTTGATATCCTCGGGTATTCGGGCGTAGGCCTGGCCAACCCGCATTCGAAAATTCGGGGGTATCACAACATTCCCCGAGCAATGGCTAGTGCAGCAGATGGGTCAGTGATCATAGAATCACCAATATAGAGGATGGACTTGTCAGCCCTCGAGAAGAAAGGAGTCCAAGGTGCTCCATCCTCGGCAAGGACGTAAGCGTTGACTTTATCCTCAGGGTTAACTTCTTCGGTTTTCTTCTCTTTGCTTTTTGGGTTGGAAGCACCCTTGGTTTTCACGGTTGAAGAGGAGTTCAGCCTCGCCCTTTTGTTCAAAGGGACTTCGTCAATCTCCTTTTCCTGTTCATTTGTGCGCAGTATAGTCAACGGAGCATTCTTTGCAGCTTTCCTCTTCAAGGCTTCAGCCCTCTGTTTTTCTTCCTCAGTCATGGGGAAGCTGTCCAAAGATAGAAGTGAGAGGTCTATGAGATCAGCGGCTACAGTTCTGGAAGCAACTGCTTTAAGACTCGCAGAAGTGAGTAAGCTCTCAATCGAGGGAGGGTTGTTCCAGACCCATTTTTCCAGGAAGGAAAGCCTCTTCTTAGCAGCCGAAGAAGGAAATGTTGCTGAAAAAACACCAAGAAACTCATAAATATATCGAAATAGTAAGACTCGACATGGGAAACAGCCCGAGCACTCTTCATGAAGAAAAAGGGGATATTCTATACCTAATTTTCCGAACTTGCGAGGGATTGGGAGTTTGCTCGATTGGGGCACGGCCCATTTCCCTTTAACAACTATCATCCTCTCTTTCCACTTCTTCTCAGAAGTAGGAAGGTCTGTGCATATCCTTTGGTGCAAGGGGGAGGTGAAAAAGAAACGACAAGGTTCGGTTCCATGCTTAGAAATAGAATAAGTAATCAGCAAGTCAGCCAGAGTCAGGTCAAGACTCTCCTACCACCGGCGAATGAGGAGTGCTGAGATTACTCGAAGGAAGTTAGGGTTTACTTGCAAGGGTGCAATCCCCAATTTGTTGAAGACTAAATGATAGAAGGGATGAAGGGGGAACCCAAGAGCGTTGAGATACCCCACAGAGAGGAGCAACTCGTCTTCTCCGACGCCCTCGTCGGTACAAAAATCAGTGCCTCTGGGGTACTCTGTGATTTCTATCCCCTCGGGAATCTCAAATTCTTCCATTACGGATTCAATGAAGAACGGAATGCGACGAATAAATAGAATTGCACTCCTCTCTTCCTTAGTGAGGATATTGTCCGACCCGGAGATGGATGTTTTAGCCTGGATCGAAGAAACACCTGGCTGATTAGCCGAGTCACTTACAGGTTTAGGAAAGTTCGAAACCCTAGGTGGGGGAACCCTAATGAGATTAGGGGAAAACGAGGGAGTGGACTCAGAATCTATGATATCTATACGTTCAGGAGTAGTTGAAGTACTCATAATGCAAGATCGAAGAGAAAAAGATGGAGAACTAACCTGATAAGACGACGGAGTGAAGAATGCAAGAAACGTAGTGAGAGCAAGAGTAATCCTTATAGAATCTCTTAAGGCAGAATGGTAATGGGCAATCTTCGAAACGTCTTTTGGTAAAAAAGACAACCGTGCAACTTCAATTCCCTTTTTAATAGGAGCCGCAATCCAATTAAAGAGAGAATTGGGGGCAAAGTGTGGAGGGAAAAATCTCCCTCCAATAAGAGCAATCCACATCATCATAAATATAACTTTATCTCCAATAAAGGTCAAAGTCCATTTCGTCAGAAGCCCAAGTTGAGTTGGTCATTAGCCCAAAACTACCGACAGGCTTTACTAAAGCTCGAATCAAAACACCAGCAGTCATGTGTACCAAGTTAGATGCGGCCCAAATCCATTTAAAGAAGGAACCGGTCCTACAAGGAAAAGGATTCATCAAAGGAATAAGTTTTGTGTAAGGAAAATCCGGAAAGGGAAGAATTATAAAGAGGAAAGAATTCTATTTGTAAATAAATTGATATATGGAAAGAATTAAAGGACAAGCAACGCAAGTCCTACCATAATTCTTCTAACTTTTGTATATAAATAGAGGCCCAGACCTCCAATGAAAAGATCAAGCAATTCTACGCTTCTCTATACAGTGTTCTTATTTATTCTTATTGTTTTTGAGTGAGTTGTTTTATTTTTCTCAATTGTTATTGGTTGAGCGAAATTTTGAACCTACACTCTCCATCCTTGTCAAGTCAGTAGAAGCAAACCACATTGCAGCTACTTATTTTGATGTCATCGTACTAAACCGGCCTGCTTAAAGAAGTACAAATTAATGGCTTTGGTGTTGGGACACTGCCAATGAGTCAAAACATGTTCTAAATTCCAAATGTCGCTAGTGTTTTTTTTTTTTTTTTTTTCCGCTTTATGTTGTCTCAGAATATCTCCAATGAATGGGCTAAAGGAGTGTTAAGTGATGTTGAAAACCTGATAGAAGAGAGAGTTGATGAGGTACTAAATATGTTCTTGAAAGATTTCAAAGAGTCGATAGAAACCAAAGGTTGGCCTGCTTTCCTAAGTGCTGGTAAAATATCAAAGGCAGCCTTGAACGCCTACACGAGAATTCTGGCCAAGAAGTACCCTACATTTTGCATCAACTGCGTCTGCCCTGGCTTCGTGAAGACAGATATAAATTGCAATACCGGCATATTGACAGTAGAAGAAGGTGCTGAAATTCCTGTGAAGCTATCCCTCTTGCCTCATGGTGGACCTTCTGGTTGCATCTTTGTTTAGAAGGAAGTTTCATCTTTTGAATGAGAAATATTGTTAGATCCAACATTCAATAGTTTGAGACAAAAAAAAAATGATACCAGTTTATATTGCAATTTATAAATAGAACTGGGAAGATCAATTTATGTTTTCATGTACGTGTCACTTCAGAATTTGAAAGATCAGTTTATGTTTTCATGTCACTTCCTTTAAATGGTTATAAATAGAACTGGGAAGATCAGTTTATGTTTTCATGTACGTGTCACTTCCTTTACATGGTTGCAAATAGAACTAGAACCCTCAGTGGAAGTGATTTTGTTTTTGATATGCAATGAATATATTTTTGTTGGGAGAGATGACAATAAACAAACACAGCGGAATAATTCTTCTCCCTATATGCAAGCAAATATAGTATATCTCTAGTTTTATATGTGCTGAAAATAATAGAGAAACAATCAATCACACAAAGCCACAAGAACACAAGCAATTTTTTAAGTGGAAAACTTCCCCAGTGTGAGGAAGAAAAACCACGGGACCTAGTCCAGTTAAAAACTCCACTATCAACCAAATAATGGGTACACAAAGTCTTTTCTAGTCGCAATTAGAGGCTACAAAACATCTCATCAAAGATAGCAACAATCTTGGCAAAAAATAAAGAGAATTGGAGAGAAAAATACCAAAACCTGGTTACTGTTCATAGGCATGAATCACTGTTCCCAAACTCAAAATCCAATCTTCACCATTCAGATTTTAACTCATTAAGTCATAAACCTCTCCTCCAAATTTCAGCTCGATCGGACCACAGACGAAGCGGGATCGGACGTTTGATGAAATCTGGGCAGAATAGAAAAACCTGCGTTGTTCTACCAAAACCCGGTTACTATTCACGAGCACGAATCACTGTTCCCGAGCTCAAAATCTAATCTTCACCGTTCAGATTGTGCATTACTGAGTCGTGAACCTCTCCTCCAAATTTCAGCTTGATCGGACCACGGACAAAGTGGGAAAGGACGTTTAATCAAACCTGGGCAGAATAGAAAAACCTGCGTTTTTCTTCTCTTTGTTCTTTCACTTGCGGCTAACCTCTCTCTCTTTTTATACTAACTTCCTTAGGGTTTTCTTTTCCCTAAAGGCTGGGCTTTGGGCTTTTAAAAACCCACTTGGGCTTTCCTCCATATAGAAGGAAATAAACCCAACAAATCTCCCCCTTTCCGACTATGTGAAGGGAATCGCCATCCCGGCGATTGAACAACAAACTTCAAGCTTGTCTCTTTATAATGTCTTTGTCAACATATCAGAGCCATTATCATCAGTGTGAACCTTCTCAAGTGCAAGTAACTTATTGTTTAACGCATCTCTGATCCAATGGTATCGTACATTAATGTGCTTAGATCTTGCATGGAAACTGGAATTCTTAGCAAGATGAATAGCACTCTGGCTATCACAAAACAACACATACCTCTGTTGCTTGAAACCAAGTTCTCTCAAGAACTTCTTTGCCCATAGGAACTCTTTAGTCGCTTCCGTTACTGCAATAAACTCTGCCTCTGTGGTAGAAAGAGCAATACACTTCTGAAGTCTCAATTACCAACCTACAACCCCACCTGCAAAAGTGATCAAATAACCCGAAGTAGACCTACGAGTATCCACATCCCCTGCCATATCTGCATCTGTGTAGCCAACTAACAATGGTTGTCCGTTTCCCAAACCAAGTCTTAAACTAGAAGTGCCTCGAAGATATCTCCTGATCCACTTCACTGCATTCCAATGCTCTCTTCCCGGATTTGACAAGAATCGGCTAACTACACCAACTGCATGGGCTATATCTGGTCTCGTGCAAATTGTGATACCCCTCGGATCTGAGACATGGGTTGATCAGGCCCAGGCCCAAACCCGAGGGATGTCAAACAATTAATATGTAACCGAACACAGAATACAAGATAAAATACGAAATAAAAATAATAATAAGCTGAAAGAATCTAGAAATACAATCATTTATAATTAAATACTTAAAACCTGATAACCCAAAACTCCATAAGTTTACAACTTGGGAATCCATCGATTGGACCCCTTATTTAAATTCTCCAAACGATACTGAAATAATAAAAATAAAATCTAAAGCTAACATATAGAAAATTCCTACATAATCGGAGGAGTGAAAAGCTGTATCTGCTCTGCACTTCCAAACTCTAACCCTGGAACTGACGAGCACCTGAAAAATAAAGAAGTGGGTCAGGCCCATATGCAAGTCCTGATCTACTACAATCCAAACAGTAATCCGATACGCAGATACATCCTAGGAAGACTCAACAATATCTAGAGTAGTCCATAGAAGTATATAGTACACACTATAGGACGTTCGCTAATCCAGTAGGTCTGTCTCAGCCTGAATAGAAGGCAACATGCGAATACGTACCTTAAGGTGGGCATGAGTACCTAGACTTACCACGGAACAACACCTATGTCCAGTTATCCATCCTAGGAGATATACGCTCCCTAACCATGGTTATGAGACTCAAGCTCATACCACGGCACCATATAATATATATATAAAGTCCGTACTCCTCCTAATACACAATACCATCCATCTGTGTAGTGGTCTGATATATGTAGAACCAATCCATCCTGAAACTATAGTAGGTCATTCAATTCACAATTGATATGACACATGTAGGTGATGGACTTAACCTTTATGATTAATCCATACCTTAATCCAAATTTAGGTAGGCTTAGTGTCTGAACTAATTCGTACCTAGTATGACACCGTCCCATACCGATGCATACCATCCTCCAGTTTACATAGTTAATAACACAGTATATCTATTTATTAACCACATCCCAGAATAAGCATAAATATAGTTTAACATGTATACAACCAATTTATGCCTCCAATATAACATTTAGATATCCCATTGCAGTTCTTTATAAAAATAAAAGACTGTACACTTAGCTCATCCAGTTAACGTAGTTTGACGAAAACAGTATCAGATACTAACCAACCATACTCCAAAATTTGCATAAATATAGTTTACATGTGTATAACCAAATTGTGCCTCCAACAACAATTTTAGAATCCCAGTTCCAATCCTTTAAATTGACAAATCAAGATTATACAATTTATTTCTCCATATAATACCATAACTGATGCGTTGTGTAACACCCCCACATTTTTCACGCATAAGTTGATCAGGCTTATACACGAAAAACGAGGGATATCAAAAACAATTGGCAATATACAAGCATGGAATACAAAATGACGATAATAAAAGAATTTAGACAGGAAAGGAACACTAAATAATACAACATCCATCCATCCTTTATTTAATACAGTACTTCATTACAACTTGGAAATCCTATGTCAAGGATCCCTAAATATAACCCTGAGAGTTCAACGTCAAAAGTAAATAAAAACTGAAACTGAAGTAATACATAAAACTTCTACCCTGAACTGGATCGTAAGAGTAGATGAGTTCGGATGGTGGTCCCTCACTGCTAACCTCAACCTTGGAATGGGTACTGACCGTATCCTGAAATAACAACAATGGTGGGTCAACCCCACGAGCAAGTCCTCTCTACTATGACCCAGATCAGAGAATCAAATAAATTAATCATTTATATCCGGATGAGTACTATATCTGTATACATCCTAAGGGAACTATCCAATGTATAACATGACCTCAACCAGAATAGACGGTGATCACTTAGACTCACACTAGGTGGTTAAGTGTCGCCTTTCCCTACCCGGGAAATCAGCTATTATACATGGTGCATGGTACTGACAACACAGACTATAACGAACTACACAGTGATAACACCTCTCAAAGCACTGATGAATATACTGAGCATATAAATTAGGCAACACATGCCAATAATATTAAACCACATACCCCGACAGCCACACATCTGTCTATGGCAACGAATGCATAAGGTATAAATGAGTCTCAACTTATTAGTCAGCTCACATGGTTCTATATGGCAACACATCCATATAATATAAATGCGACATAATTTATTTAGCAGTCCATTTACCTCCTGAAATGCACACAGCATAGTAATAATGATTTGTATATCATTAACAACATAAATAATCCCGTAATGTATAATGGACAATTTATAAAACCAGGTAATCATTTAATTGAACATTAACCATTAATACCATTTAATAAAATAATGACACAATTAATATTTAACAATGTCATTAAATTAATTACATCTGTTTAATAGCGACCCGTACTGAAAATGATACAATTAATATTTAGAAATAGTAATCGGACATAATAATAATTAACGGGTAGTACAATAATAATTTAATGTCCCGCTAATCCCGAAAATACCAACCCGAGGCCCAAAAATGCAAGTCGAAGACTCTGAAAATTACAAATCAGTCCTTAGGGGTATTCTGGACTTTTCCAGCAGTTACAGAGACCCCACACGCGCCCTCACGCGCCTCCCAGAGCTTCCTACACGCGCCGCCACTTTCCTCACACGCGCACACGCTTACACGCGCCTCCACGCGCGTCTGGCATCAGCCACTCGCGCGCACGCGCTCCCACGCGCGCGTTGAAGGCTCCTACAGACGTGGCGGATCCTGATTCGTTAGTTGCATGGGCTTTGCTGCAGGCGCGCTACACCGGATCCATTTATCACCTTACACCTAATCCAACGGTTATTGATCCGGGTGTATCGCGCTAACATGGACCGCGATGCACCGGATCAATATAACACTCCCAAGGGCCAGGATGTGCGCGCACACCAACCTGCAGTACGCCGCAACACACCGGATCACTCCGGTCATCTCCCCCATTGCCGGCGACCGGAAAACTCGCCGGAGGGTCGCCGGAAAATACAGAAAAATTCCGAAAATTACCCAAAAATTCTAAAAAAAAATTCTAAAACCTTAAATAACAATTTCCTAAGTTTCAAATAATTACCTAGGCTAATAATAAATTATTTAACCCTTAAATAATTAATATCTCATTATTTTAATAAATTAAATAATTAATTTCTCATTGTCCTAGCATGGT